CTCCACACTATGATGGTTTTAGCTAGTTTACATAAGTTAACTGGTGGCTGAAAGTTACGTTTTTCTGGCCATGCCAGCTGTCATCACCATTTGGGGACCGAGCAGGTTTTTACACCCGTAGGGCCGCAAAATCAGCTGCCCGCTTACTTTCTTAAAACATGAAAGCATATTTAAATACACAATTAGTATCCGATAGCATTGCAATAGAATTGTTTTATTGCCACCGCTGACTAGCATCCATTTATTGTTATTTTTGCTGATTCCTCAAATTATTTCTTCACATAACCTTAAAACTGTAGGCCTAGTTGTGTTGACTATCAGTTTGCGTTATTATTGGGGTGAATAGTGGTAATAGAGTATAGGGTGATGAAAAATAGCGTTCGTACCACGGATGAAATGGTTTTTCAGCTCTCGACCGTTTTAAGTACTCGACTTCGTATCTCGAGCCGGCAAAACCTCATTTTCGGCCTGAGGTACGAAATATACTATTATATTATTTGTCTAAATAGTGATATGGCGTTTCAATCTGGGTGACACCAGCATATGATTAATCAACAAATAGCTATTAGAATTATTTTTAAAACGCTGCACTGATTATTAAAAATCTCAAGTAGCTGTAAAATACTATAAAAAATCCAGAGTATGTTATAAATCAGAGTATTATTTTGTAGCATGAATATTCCCAAGTGTAAATATTTGACAGCTAACAGTATTTTCTCTCCATAAAAGTAACACATAACCCCATAAATCTAATCTAATCTAAATCGAAACCTCTTTTTCTTTTTAATAGCCTTGCCCAAGGCTAAAGAAAAAGAGGTTGCCTCAGTCGCGCGTATGACGTCACCCGCCGACCCGGACGGTGCTGCTTTTAATTCACACAGCTGTCACCTGTCAAGTACTTTGTTATTGTTGTTTGTTTTTCATTTATTTATTTGTAAACAGATCCGGGTCAGCGGGTGACGTCATACGCGCGACTGAGGCAACCTCTTTTTCTTTAGCCTTGGGTTGAACACAGCACCTCTCCTCCAAGGCGAATTCTTTTTAATCATATGGTGATTCTTGTAACCTGTTGTTTTTTCCTCGAGCTTCTTCTTAAGGCAGGATTTGAGGATTGACCGTTTGGTAGAGCAGCTAGAAGGTTGGTTAAAGTGGCATTCATCTTCAGTATGATAGTTGTTTATTACATGATCATTTGCTCCCTGAGGTACTTGATCTTGAACTTTAGGCCCTAGAGGAAGTTTGATTTTGATAAAGTAGTCTTGGTCGTCCTTCTCACCGCTTACCTTTAAACCAACCCCACTGACCATCTTATTTGATCAATGTGTCTCCTGTAGGTGGAAATTCCAGATTCAATATTATATAGTGGCACGTGCCTAGTTTTTGTAGAATCCTTCCAAATCTCCACTTTGGTAGTGTTTGGTGGATTCTAAAAGAAACAGAGTCTCCTTCTTTAAAGTTCCTCTCATAAGATTGTTGGAGACGTAATTTGTGCAAGTATTTGAAGAGTTAAGAAGTGTCAAATAAAACAAAAAGATACCGACCTTAAAGTTGGGCTTAAAAAAGTTAAAATTAAACTTGATCAGCCTTTTTTCGGCTTAACCATTTAGGTTGTATACATCCACAGAGAAAAAGATACCGAGTAAACTTGCTAATGGAACGACCGTGCACTGTCAGCTTTGCCGGGGCCGGGACGGGGAAGCACTGTGCTGAAATTCCTATTGCACAGAGCACATGGTCTTCCTTCCAACGTTGGCGTAGTACGTGTTCGGTGAGTACATGTTGTACATGTTCTAAGTGAAAACAGGTACCGGGTAGTCGTCGGGGAGTCTAGGTTCCTTCGACAAAATGGAAATGGAAATGGAATGGAAGTACATTGTTGGCGATAGGCTGGTGTTGGTGTTGGACTCTGCCATAGACTCCATCAGCGACTAGTGCTAGACACCGTGTACCATTGCATGTTTCATCTGCACCGTTACTTCTCTGTGTACAATCGCAAGACTATCTAAGGCTGTGAATCCTGAATTCTAACAAAGAAAGTAAATTGCATTCCTTACACCAGCGGCCTTTTAATTTTCGTTGAAGAAGGTGGGGGTTCAAAAAAAAAGATTCTAGTCCATGTTTGCTTTCGTGGAACCCTTTCCATCCCCAGATAGGCGATAGGCCTACGCCACCTACTCCATACCACTCCTCTGTGAGTTCCAGGTCCCAACCACCTGAAATTGAAGCACGAGGGCCGTGCCCGTACCTCAGAGAATCACGTGACATCGTAATACTTGCATTTGGGACAGTGTTAAAAACGTATTCCTCCCCATCCGTGGAACTATCTTCAATCAACATGTGCTATCTATGGTTTAACCAATGAATACAAACCTTATAGTTTAACTCGGGACCCGAGTCCTGAGTCTCGGGTAACTGCTTGCCACTTCTCTACGCGAGGCATGGTTATGGATTATGAATGCTTCACCACACGTGCAGTGAAGATGTGTGGGGTATTTGAATCACAGGCCGCGGCCTGGTAGAATTGGCAACGTCGCACGTAAGGGTTGTTTAGTGTCAGACGTACCATAAGATAACATGGTAGACAGGTGACTGAGAAATTGCGGATGCAACTGAGACTGGCTGGACTGTAACTAACTGTGACTGAACTGATATGTGTGAATCGACCCTAATGATCTGATGTCCCCTGTATGCCATGTTATCTTATCGGACATCTGACACTTAACAACCCTACTTGCGACGTTGCCAATTCTACCAGGCCGCGGCCTGGAGCTAAACGTGGCCGTGACTCAAAGGTCAACACAATGAAATACATATAAAACACTGTCACCATGGTGATGTTTAATGAACGCTGTCAGTCTGCCTCCAAGGGGTTTTCCACCGAGATATTTGATTTCCGGCCGCGGCCGGCTGCCGCTGGGGTCTTACTTAGGGGAAGTACGATTGGGGCATTAGTTCAAAATTCCTCCGTGAACAGCGCTGTAGTAGAGAGCATTTTGGCAATGAAGGTTTACTAATCACAAAAATAGTTCTGTTCATAAAATAAAATTATAAATGCCTCAAATTCAATGTTATAATTTTTGTATTATAAAATTACTATATAACCTAACCAAACTTGCTGATAATGAAATAATATAAAATACCCCCGCCGCAGCAAACCTGCAGACTAAGCGAATTTCCATTTGACTGATTGGATTTACACTGAAATGTCTACTTAAAAATATAACATTTATTCTTGATTTAAATAGAATTAGTTTATCAAGTACTTAGGTTACTTAGGTGTACTAATGTACTTAGGTGTAAGTAATAGGTGTACTTAGGTACATCAGGGAGGGTAAAACTTTTTTTTTAAATGTGAATAGTTAGTAAGAAATGAAAACATTTTCCAAATTTGATCAAAATATCAAAACATGTTCACAAACAACCAAACTAAAACAGTTTGACTTATTCTCCATAAGAATAACATGGGAATTTTAAATTTACAATTTTTGGGAATTTTCTCCGTAACCATCAGGCGCATAATAGCGCTTCAATATACTAAATTATTTGTTTTTTAAGCTCTACAAAATGGTTTGGAAAGAAATTGCAAAATTTTATGTTTTTCGGGTCAAAAATGGGAAAAACCTATTTTTACCCCATAAAACCCCCCGTAAACCCCCATTCCCATGGTCCGATCATGCTGGATCGTGAACTCGTTCGAATAAACGTACGTTTACACGTTTGTACCAAATTTCATCAAAATTCGATCATTTTTGCTCGAGTTATCGTGCTGACGGACACACACACACACACATATATATGAATTTGAACGGATGGTGTTTTTGGCCTCTAGGGACCTCAAAACGAAAACAAAATCGGTCCCGCATCCAGGTCGACCATGAGTACTACGGTGATAGATTATTCCCTATATGGGAAATTCGCTAAAAGTGTATTAATAGAACAAATAATTCTGTTAATTAAATAAAACTAGAAATTGCTCGATTAAATTTTTATATTGACTTAATAATACAATTAAACTGTCATAACCGAACCAAACCAACCAAACTTGCTGATAATGAAAACATCTTAGTCAAAAAGTTAATGCCACCATCGGGATTCGAATCCAGGACTCTCAGCATATCAGCCTGGCACGCTAACCACCAGACCACCGAGGCCGATGGCTGATAACCGTATTGTTACGGTAATGGTGTTCCCTCTGCTAATGAGAAGCCCACAGCTGTCATCGTAACCTCATCTATACCTCCCCTGAGTAAATACCCTGCCGCTGCGGTTGCGGCCTCTCTCAGAGACTCAGACTTCAGACTTGGACTGGGACAGGAGACTGGACTATGTTGGACTGGGACAGGAGACTGGACTATGTTGGACTTGACTTGACTTGACTGCAGATGCCAAAGCCGTATAATTCAAACTAGTGGCTTGTAGGGACATAAGTCCCTAAAATGCTCAATAATATAAAACAAATTATTCTAATATTTAAACAAACAAAGAAATATATTATCTATGTGTCAGAATAGATATCCCTGTATATGTGCCATATCTTTTGTGTAAAAAAACAGTTAGTTGTTTGTCTTTGTTGATGTTATTTTCAATAAATCATTCGAATCACTACATAGATTTAACTCTGCTAAAGCAAGGCCACACTATAAAGGCAGCAAACATATAATTGGTTGTGAATAAATACTGGTTTATTAAGGTAGCTCGTTAATTATTTATTCAATGTAGTTATTTCTTGTTAAACACAAGTTTGAAAAGTTTCACAGTAAAATAATATATTTCCATATTCTATATAACGTAACTAAAAAGTCTTAATTATTATAGGTAACGTTATCCCTGGTTTTATATAGTACATTGCTGAACTTACTGGCAAATAAGTATAATCCAAATGTTAACATTGCGTACTGGCTTGATGATAAATCACGATCAGCTGTATGAAGTAAACAAAAATTAGCAGAAAGTGGCTTCTAATGCTATTCTTATGGTGGATATATCGTTATATCTCGTTTTCTGGTAACTTTATGGGAATTCTGCTATGCTATTTTTTCCGAGTCACTGGGGTCAAGACCTTTAATTTAAGACACCTCCCACCTCCCACTTTTCTGCGACTTACCAGACGTCCAAAATTTTCTGGTAAAGATTTTGTCTTACAGAATTATATATAAGGATTGCGCAATAATTTTTTTGTACCCTTCCTCACTTTGTGTCGTCGTCACTCGTCTTGTCAACTCTTTATTTATCTTTCTTTAAATTAGTTACTTTCTAATTTAATTAATTACTGGGATAGATGATGGACTTGGATCTCGTAGCTGGAACGATGTAGACAAGCAGTGAAGATTATTTATTCTCGATGAGAATTTAAATCTATTTTAGAGTAGGTAAGTGGTATGTTATATTAACTTAACTTAGACTTTCTTGAACCTTAAAATTATGTGTTTTCTGACAAGGTCTGTGGTATTAAGTTAGTGAGTTATAGCTAAACCAAACTTAATCCACCTTGTGATAAGCAGGCCCGCTTCCCTAAATAAGTTGGTAACTTAGCCTCCTATAGCCTATTAAGCTTTCTTGAACCTTTAACCCTCCAAGTGTCTCTAGTTTTGGTCTTAAGGTTTGCCCATTTATTGCACAATCGCAGGGTTTTATTAAAATGTATCTTAGAAACTTAAAAACAATGTATAAAGTAAACTGTTTTAAGTTATATTTGTTTGGAACATTATGGGCTCCAATGTAACATAAGTTATAAAACATTACAAAAAAAATGTTCAACAATTTTTGTGGGGTTAACATTTCTCAAAAATTAGCCTATAAAATAAGTTAAATGAAAAAAATGTATGTTTGCGCTCAATAAATTGTTATAATTTATAGGTCTACAAATATTTTAAAATAGACTAGCCACTTTGTTCAGAATTTTATGAGGATTCCAAAAATATAATAATATAACTTAAGGAAGTCGGTTTGCAAATAAATAAGTTATAGGCGAAAAAAAGATTTCGGTACATAGCGTTTTAGCTAAGAATGCATACAGTAGCCTAACCATAGCTAGGAATCTGGCTGATAATTTACATCTATAGCCTATCACTATATACCTACTTCTTCAGGATCATCAACCAGCCCTTCAAAATCACTTATATCTTCTTATAATACACCACGTATATCACTACTTTTGATTTTTAACACTAAAACAATCATAAACGTAATAAAACACATCAGTCATCGGTGCGAGGTTTTAACCAAGCTGTTTACAAATACGCACGTCAGCTGTCTGCTACAATATTTTCGGAACTAAAATGAAAAGCGTATAGAAACGGACATCAGGAGAAAGCTCTGAATCTGCTGAAAAAAAACGATACCTAACTCGATCCAGTTCAATCCGATTCAGTCAGTCCCAGAGGCGTTGCCGTAAACAGTGTTTGTGAGTCGCAAAAGCGACACATAACACTACAACGGATGTGTTATGAGTCGCTTTTACGACACAACACTCGGAGGGTTAAAGTTACGCCTAACTTATGTGTTTTCTGGGCTGCACTTTTAGTGTAGAATCAAACAGACAGAGTAGCGTAGCGTAGCACATGTTTTAAATCAAAACCATGCATTAAAATGAGTTAGGCCTATGACATACTACCTATAAGTTAGTAGCGTATTTCGGCGTAGCGTATTTCGGCGTAGCGTTAGCAGCGTACAGCCAAGGAACAAAATTATTTTATTTTTCTCAGAGCACATTGGAGCGCATTTGACTGCAGACAATAGAAAAGTTAAAACTAAGTAGCCTAGTTTCTCTTCTGTACCAATTGGTCTTCTCCAATTAGTTGTCTACTTCTCCAAATCATCATTCACCAAACTAAATATGTAATCAAACGTTGTAGTCGACATTCTTATGTAGTCCATAAACCGAGACTTGTATTTCCTAAGGATTGGAAATAAGTGGTTATATTCACCATGTTTGTCCCTGCCTTTACACACTTCATGGACCCAGACATTTCTCCTAACTTAATGGTCAAAAACTGCTACCTAAAGGTTTTTTTGACAAGACTAATACGAGCCGTCCTCTATACCGATGTACCTTGCTTATTAAGACCGTCTACAACCTATCATGCGCTACGCTACTCTGTGCTCTCTGTGTGTAGTAGGCTACCCTGTCTGTGTATGTTTCTACACTTAAGTTAGTTTAAACCCCACATTTACTCACACAATTTACAACAAATTGAAGATTATTGTAATTGAATGGGCCGTATAGGATATATGAGTGATTTAGTAAAATCTTGCAATTCCTGACTTTGACGGGGGATGGGAGGGAACGCACCGGGGGGGATTTTAGGGGACTTTTGGTAAAATGTACATCTTAATGTGTACTACACAGTGGTACGGTATATAGTTTTGCTTGTCACTAATTTGTTCCGACATTGGTTGTATAATGTCCCACTGGAAAATATGTTAAAATGTAAATATCATAAACCAACATTTGGAATTCAGACAGAAAACACAACCTTGTAGACTACAGTAAGTTGTAGCCTACCTACCTAAAAAGTCAATGGAATTGAATATGACTGTAAGAATGGTACAACAGTCAAAATGTGGTTGCGGATATTTGGGTAGGCCCACGTTCGGCCTAATATAATGGGACGGTGGCGTCGTCCTGTAATCCAGCTACTATGAGGTCACGAATTGTGGATATTTATCTAGGCATGTACTGTAGATGCGATACTCCCTTGTGTGGATTATTATCCGCTAGTGAGAATTACGACTATCCACAGTACTAACCCGATTATTAGACCAATTTGTTAATACCAAGGCTTTTTTTAAATTTGTTTTAAAAATGTGGTTCGGATTTCACTATAAACTGTAGGTCCCTTAGTTTCCTTTAGCTGTATCGGATATTAATTAACAGCTGTGTCTAAGGAATATGTCGGCCTTAGTCACTAACAAGACTACAAGATCGCGCCACTCACCATCCATTCATCCCATTCACACATGACACTCATCTCCATTCATACTTGGCTTAAAATACGAGTAGGTACCTACTTTGTATGGTTGCCATTTCAATGAAAAGTATAAAACAATTACTACCGATAGGGGCTGGGCCATAGACCTATTGGCAGTAGGCCTACAGTTCAGCTATGGCAGCACAATAATCGTAGTGAGTTTAAACGATGTTGAAAAAGCAATTTTATCAGTATCCCTCAACCTCTGTTACGATCACAACGACATCATAAAGATGACAGCAACGTCCACGATCTCTGTCGTTGTGATTTTTTTAATTTACATAAATGTCATAGAAACTCGTTATGAATGGAAGCCTTGATTGCAGCTGTTCGCGATGAATATTGGAAAATCCAAGTTTCTCAGTCATATACAAAGCTGATTCAGTTTTTTCCCCCCGGTTATCAATAGTGTAGTACAGTGAAGTTACTAGGTTGCCAGTCCCACTTGGTACTGGATTTGCTTACAAAACAAAATCGGAAAGGGTTGCAGCTGCAGCATTTGTGAACAAAATTTAATTTAAACAAAAGTGACAGCTAGAAAAAAGAATCTTTATCCAAACAGCTGTTTGTTGTTTCATAGATGACGTATTTTCTAAACAGATGATTATTATTTCATGACATTTGTGGTAACAATTGAAAAATAGCTTATTCCCTATATGGGAAATTCGCTAAAAAACTTGACAAAATTCAATTAAAATTAATATTTTGAACTTTTTATGTTTTATTTCCAAAGTGGTGAGGCCATATTTAAATGGCCAAAGGCACTCTCCCCATTGAATAGTCATTTATTCAGTCTTTAAACAATACATTATTGTAATTGACATCGTCATTATTATTGTAAAAAGATATAAGATGCAATAGGCCTACTTATAATTAATAAAATTTGACATGAAAATTCCAAAATATAGGCTGCCCTTAGTTAACATTTAACAGGTTTAAAATAATTTTAAAAAAATAGGCAAACTTAACAAACTTAAATTATGAATAATAGTGGGTCTTTCTTAAAAAGGCTAATGGTTATCACAGGTGTGTATCAAGTGAATACAATAAAACTATTTGAATCATGAATGTTACCTACTCTAGTTTTCTCAGAGTAATTACGTTGTGTAAATTGGAATTTCTACATCACAGACACAATTACGGAAGGACAGAAATTGAGATAAGACTCGTTTCGGCTTTCTTATGGTTTAAAACGTAAATTAACCCAAAACTTCATGATTCTACGCCATGTACAGACAAAACTGTAGTTTTATTTATATATGGATGAGCTTTGGTAAATAAATAATTAAAATTAATTTTAATACTCTCCGACTAGCGGCGGACACCACAAGATTTCCGTGATTCCACAGATTTTGTGACCGGCGGCAGTGGCAGCTATGGGGGTATCAGGGTTACCAACTTAGGGATTTAATCGTGATTTGTAGTGTAGAAGTGTTTGGATAACAGAATACTAACAATTCAAATGACAACCTCTGGTTCCACAAATTGTCATGTTAGTGAGGTTTCGTTGTATTTGTTTACTAAGGTTTCAAGCCATTATAATGATTTAGGCTTTAACATTTTATAAAATATTCACACTTTACACACTCTGAAATAATAATTTTTTTAAGTTACAGTATTCATGATTAACCTAAATTACTTAACAAGCTATTATGACTACCAAGTCAAAGTGAAATTGATAACACATTGCATTATAAATGGGGCAATAACAATTGCCGCAATTAATAATTAATTGTTTCAGCTATTATTTTGCACCATAGAGTGTGTGAATATTGCAAAACACGGTTGTTAGTGAGTGATGTTTACATTTGTGTTTTGTGCTTTATTTTTTAGTAATTGAGTTCAAATGGCCAATCAAAACAATCTGAAATTTTAAGGAGTTGTTATAGAGATGCTTAATAAAAGTATGTCTGACTTGGATTTTATACTTGGCAATGAAAATAATATTATGGAAGGAATCCTGAAGAACAGTCTTGACGTAGTGGAAGTCTTGGCGGGGAATGGGAATGAGGACATGGGAGCTGAAAGGAGTGGTTTAGATTTACTTCAGAATGATAGATACATTTTTATGGATAAAAAATAAAATAAGGAAAAGAAGAGACTAGAATACTCAAGGTTAGTGGCAGTGTTCAATTTTTTGATGATTGCTAAGTGTGGCAGATGCATATATCCGTCCACCTTATGTTTTTTGTCGCCCTAAGATTGATATATCCGTCAAATCAAATGTTATTTTTTTATAACTTTTGTACAAAAATTTGTTCAGCACTAATAAAAATTCTTTTTATGATCCATGAATGATTTCAAACGATAACCACTTTAGTTTTAGAATTTTGGCAATAAATAATTAAGCTCCAGCCCTTTATTAGTTTAGCTCTGGAAGGGTTAAATTGTTTATGGGTTTTTATGAATACATAACAGAGAATTTTAGACATAAATTTATTTCTTACATTAATATTTTTATATAGAGTAAACAACCTTTAAAGAAATGTTGAATATTTAACAATTAAAACTTGAAAATTCAAACATAACGGTAAGAAAGACAAAGCAAGCTTGACTAACACCCTGTCAGCTATTGACAGTCGAGTTAGTGAGGTGTTAATGTAATGTAGGTGCGTTTTGGGGATGGTTTTGATAGTGTTTTGATAGCTTGGCAGCACTTGATAGCGTCGCTACGGGGTATCAGAGTAGCTCCCTCGGAGCACAATACACCTTAGTTTTGTGGCTTGTAGGTGCAGTGTCGTGTATCTGGCCCGCCGGGGCGGAATATTTCTATATAACGCCGCGAGAATATTCATCCTCAACCAAACCAGAGGGTATGGTGAGAGCTAAGTATGAATCAAGCAGAAATTAGCTATTTTGCGTACTGTCAGCAGGTGTGGTAAAATGTATTGTAATCATGCCCAGACAGAAACCCATGTAACAATTTTTCTATTTACTTTTTGTCAGCTAATGCTGCATTATTACTTACTTGCTACAATAAAGGTTCATTTTAATGAAACACTGAGAACAGATCTGGCGCATGCACTGACGCTCATCCCCTCGAGCGTTAAGGTTAGTCAGCGGTCCAAAAAGAATGTTTCGAGTGGTTATTAAGCATAATGTTTTTGGTTCTTTCTGAAATATTCTTTAAACTTGTGCGGCTGTTGGTTGGTTTCGTCGTTGGGTTTGCAAAAACTGGCTTGATATCTCCGCTATCAACTAATCTTTTGCTTTCAGGTGTTCTTTGCAAAGAAAACTGAGATTACACAACCCAGCTTAGTGGAAGAAATACAACTGCTGTGCCCAAATCATGGCAGAGTCGGTGAGTTTATTTCTGATGAGATCAATCCATTCATGGGTTTTTGTGACATTGTTGACAAATCATTTTATGACTCCCTTCAGACTTGATTGATCCTTTTATGCTATCCTTGTGATTGATATAAAAAAATAATCCTATGGTTACTACAAACCAGTAATTGTGTTTTGTTTCCTAAAATTTTTGATGATGTTAAAGTGAGATTCAACTCTAGTCATTATTTTTGTTTATTGTATGCAAAATCCTACTATATTATAAATGAGAAAGTTTGGATGTATGTATGTTTGTGACAAGTAAACACGAAAAACACTGGGCAGAAATTTGGCATGGTGATAGCTCACATTCCCGATTAACATATGGGCATATTCTTATCTCAAAAATCCTTTTGGGCTCCGCCCCAGTGGCTCTGCTGTTCCCCATGTTAACCTTATGAGTATTCATATTTAAAGGGAATTAAAGAATTTAGCCAGCTGTTTCAACTAAAAGAGTTGGTTCTATGATATGCAAAAGTATAAAAAATTATAAGATTTACCAAAAGGGTGCAGCACTATTATTTTTTCATTTTTTATGAAAACAGCTAATTTGAACTAAACAGCAACAAAAAACTGTGATACACAATGAGAACTGTCAAAGTAGGATTGTTTACAGTTATGTTTATGTTTTTAATTTCATGAATGATTTATGATATGTTGCGAATTTTTAATAATCTATCTTTCTCTATTGTGTAGGTGAAGTAGTAGAACATTATGACTATGGTAGATGTGTAATACTATCGCATACCGTAAATTTGAGCTGAAGCAAAACCAAGTTCTCAAACTGTGTTTTCTCACATCGCAAACGTATCAAAGATGTTGCGTAATCAAAAGGTTATTGTAGAAATAATAAAGTGGACTGTATATGAGTTATTAATTTAATTTTGACAATAGAAAATAATGGACTTTTGGTATAATTTTTAACACTGAACTATAGTTATGTTACCACTTTGTTGTTATTAAGGTCTTGAAAGAAGATCTGGTCGAATGTTGTCTAAAAACCGAGGGCAACTAAAAAGGAGAGATGTTGTAATATTAAGCAGATGTTATAATTAACATCTGTTGGTTTATTGACTTTGAATTGTAAATATTTTGAAGGTTCTTGCTTTATAACTGGATCTGAATTAAATAATATACTTTGAATCAAAACTAAGATCGGGTATAACTGCAATAAGCATTTTATACTTATTTGCCAACCCCGTACGAAGGAGGGGTACTCTGCTAGTATATTATAAGATTAAGTAGTGCCTAAAGAAGAAATTGGTGAAATGTTAAAAGTTGGTGTTAAATCAAAGTGTGTTTAGTCTTTATGGTTTCTTGTTGCTGATATGTGTTCACTCAGTGGCCGCGATAAGGACCCGCGGGCCCCCCCCCCCCCCCGCAAGTTTGTTCACCGGGAGCCCCCCCTCTCCCAATGATCTTTAAAAACATTTTCCCATGTATTACCGCCTAAACTTGAAATTTGCAATAAACATGACAAGGCATCTCCCGAGGCGTCATTATCGTCTTCCATGATCACAGCAAAATCGTAAATACTTCCCGAAGTCATAAGTCATGGAAGAAACATTATCATAGTTTACCGTGATTGCAAATGCAACCAAACCTATGACATCATTAGATAGCAGCATCATCGTCTCCCGCGTTCACGGCCCAATCTAATATCACGGCCTAATATCTCCCCGCGACCCGTCGGTGGTGACGGGTAAATCATTTTTCCGTAATCGCTACTAAATCCTAGATATATCTCTCGCTAAAAAAGAAACGTCATTATCGTCTTCCGCAATCGCGGTAAAATATTGAACATATGCGGCCGCGGAGACATCGTCATCGTCACCCGCGGGGAAATGTTCTCCTCGATATCCGCGATCGCGGCAAAAGCGTAGGCCTAATCTTTCAATTTCGTGAGCGTGATCCTCACGGATATAAAAGCTTTTACTTTAAATTGTGCATTATTGTATTGAATACTGAGAAAATCGGCTCGAGCTGGATTTTCTGACTTTGTGCTTGATCTCTCAAGCTTGTAGTCCAGGCTCTGCTCGGCTCGAAAATCAACATTATAGGCCTATTATAAAAATCAACCGTTTCCAAACAACCCGATTTTGAACCGATCTGATTTGGCCTGAGGTCCTTAGTATCATTTTTAGTGCGTTCAAGATCGGGTTGCTTTGGAAACGGTTGATTTTTATAATAGGCCTATATTGTCGATTTTCGAGCCGAGCAGAGCCTGGACTACAAGCTTGAGAGATCAAGCGCAAAGTCAGAAAATCAAGCACGTGCCGATTTTCTCAGTATTCAATACAATAATGCACAATTTAAAGTAAAAGCTTTTATATCCGTGAGGATCACGCTCACGAAATTGAAAGATTAGGCCTACGCTTTTGCCGTGATCGCGGATATCGACGAGAACATTTCCCCGCGGGTGACGATGACAGAGGCCAAATTGGTTGTAAATACGGCCCTATTATTATGCAACCAATTTTGACTGCGCCTTCACACAATCCACGAGGACAGTTAATGCAACCCGCATGACTGATGACAATTCTTTTACTTAGGTTGGTAGATAATTTATAACGATCGGTCAAGTAATAGTGTTAGTTTAGTTGTTGTAATCAAAATAAAATGTATTAAAAAGTTTTCTGGTAAACTACTTGAACTATAGGTTTGAACAAATTTTCATCATAAAAACGTAGTCTATTTTAATTCTCATATAAATATTGTTATGATAGGGGACTCGTGTGGCTGAGCCTGTCACACTATTGCGGGCCCGTGTGCCGGTAAAATTTACCGAAAATCCCGGTCAAGGCTCAATGGCCCCCCTAGCTCGCGCCCCCCCCCCCCCCGCACCGCGCCACTGTGTTCACTTTTAGGTGGTTGCCAAAGATTTGTCAACAGAATTTAACTTTGAAGCCAGGTTGAAAATAATAAGTAATTTTTAGGGTAGAGTGGGGGAATTGGGGCCCATGTTTTTATTTTTTTCAATTATATATTTATTGTCAGAAAAAATCAAAATATATATGCACAAGGTTTCCAACTGTAATTTGTCTTCCTTATCACATGTTTTTCATTTTTTAAATAAATTTTACTATGAAAAAAAAATAATAATTTGGAACCCATTTACCCCACATGGGGTAATTGGGACCTATGCTTATAAACCCATAAGCACCTAATATTAATTTGTGGGGGTAATAGGGATCTAAAATTGAAAACATAATAAACTAGGGTTGCTTTCAGAGAGGTGAAAGCCAGTTGAGCGGAACAAACGTGATTTGATATTTGTATAAGTAACTAAATGTAAAAAGTCAATAGATGTATTAATGCTTGTTTTATTGATTAAAATTGATAAAACATAGGCCTACGAAAAATGTAGGGCTATTTCAATGCAAGACTCAATGTAAAACACCTTTAAAAGACTAAAATGAACTGAATTATCAATCATGTATTTCAATGTGTAAAAACGTAAAAACTGCAAAAAGACTAATTTATTAAACAATAAAATAAGATGGCTGAAATGTAGGCCTAAACATAAGTAATTTAAGTAAACATAGCATTCAGCTGATTTAAGTGAAAACATAATAATAATAAGAAGGGAAGACATGCCTTAAATATACAATGAAGATATAATATAATTAGAAATTAGTAACCTACTTCTGGACAGGCCTAGACAATTATCCATACCGTGGTTAAAAGTGTACTTCTATAAGCCCAGGTAATTAATTATTTGCTTATTATTACGGTTGTAACTGGACGTATGTATAGTCCGTGGCTTGGCAATCAAATAACAGTATTTATATAGGATAGGCTACTGTTATCAACATTTGAAATTACTAAATTGTTACCAAATTACTGTTTCACAAAATGCAGATTCCATTTTCAGCCGAGCCATTAAAATGAGGATTTGCCGAACAATTATTAATATTACAGAATAGTATTTAATGATGTACAACTTTTCACATTTCATAAATTATATGTTAGTTTTGCTATGGGCAAAGGTCCAAATCCAAATGTTCTTTTCTTTTGGTTTATATGTAGAAATTTGCTACAATCATTGACTTTATATAAAGTCAATGCTAGAATACAGTAGATGGTTTGTTAAGACCATATGCAAACATTTTTGAAATCGTTTCCCCGTTTAACCAACTATTCCAAAAGATAAAAATTATATGGTGCAACACAAATAAACAACTCGATCACCTACCTATAACCTACACTTTACCTTCCTAATCTAACCTTACTTCAAAACACTTAATGTAGTCACGAATACTCCTAAACCACGACCTTCCCCACATGCCTAAATTAGATCAGTGTTAAATCTGCGTTTTATTAATAAGTGTAATAACTTACAGCACCGTCGATGTAATTCAACATAATATAATCTGTGATGTATTATCGGATTAAATATCGATTTCGATGTGGTTCGATATATCGCTTATTAAATCCTGATTTCTAACATTGGCTGTTTCTAATCAGCTGGCAACACAAATAGGTTCCCAAGAAAGTAGTCACTGGTCCGTATCCCTCCGCTCCTTGTTTATGCTCCGCGCATTGAGAAAGTAGTTCCGTATATTTTCTCGATTTTCAGTGAATTCCGCGCCTCAAAAAAATGTTTTAACGGCATTTTCTTGTTTATTAAAATCATACGAATGGTTTAAAAACGTTTAAAAGAAAAGTATAGAAAGTTCAGAAATACCTTATGATTCTCTTGTTTACATTTTTCTTGTAAACAAAAAAACTGTCATAGCTACTTTAGTCCCATAAGCCTAATGTTAAAAATTTGAAATTTTAAGTTAGTTTTAAATTGCATTAGCATTATCTAATTGAAATTTGTTTGTTTACAAACCATCTCATTATTAGTCTAAGTAGTCTTGTTAAGTTTGGCTGAAATGTTCAGCCGTTATTGAGTGATGGTGTTATATTGTTTGCATTGAAGTTGATCCCAAAGAGCTTCGCTCGCTTGCCTCGCTCCGCTCAACAAAATGCAACATACTTTTATTGAAAAAAATTTTTTTTTAGGACGTTACAACAGTTCAAACTATTTTTTCCAAAACATTACACTTTTTTCTTAATAAAATAGGAAAAATTAACCAGAGCAGATAACAGCCAGAAAATATGGATTCAAACTGTTAAAGACATGTATAGTTAAATAAAAAAAAAAACTACAAGTATATTTTATGTCAAACTTTTTTTCTGGTCATATGCAAACTTTCCGGAATTTCGCTTTTTCAGCCGAAAGAATTTCTAATAAATGGTAGTTATCAGTCCAAATATAAGTTAAAATAGGCCAATTATGGGCTTAGCTCACTCTTTTAGGCCCTAGTTTCTTATTCAAGTGATTGTAAAATAATTTTTTTTACTTTTCTGTACATCTGTGATTCCAACCCGATGTAACCTCGCGATGAGACTGGTTCCCAATTACTCCGTGCTGGGGTAATTGGGACCTACTTCAAAATTCTGTTTTTAGACATAATACATGATAATAACCACTGCAGCCACATATAATTATTGATTAATAATATGTGGGATTAATTATAATATTAATATTAATTACATGTGGGATAAAAAAATATGGGTCCCATTTCCCCACACCGGGGTAATTGGGACCCATTTTTTAAAAAATTTATAAAATTAGTTTTTAATTTTTTTTTATGTTTAAGCCTTAACAAACTATTTCTTAAACCTTTAATGTGTCAAAAAATACATTTTGGTATGATTATTAATTCATATAATGTAAAAAAATAACTCATAATACTACCACGCTAAAGTTTTGCCACATGTTTAACATTCGGGAAAAAAACACTGCTTAATTTTTTTTATTTTTTATACATCAAACACAAGATTACAATCATCCAATAATTTGTAATGAAACCCCTTTAGAATGCCTAAACTTTAACATATTTACAATTTTGTTTAAAAAATAAATAATACAAAATTTAAAAATTTAAAAAAATAGCTCCCAATTACCCCCGGGTCCCAATTCCCCCACTCTACCCTACCATAATAAATTAATCCAAAGTTCGTAGATTCATAGGAGGGCCCTAGACTTATTTATTTTGAAATGATGTGTGTGTGTGTAACGAAATGTGTTCTCTATTAAAAAGATCATGATTGAAGATTGAATTGAAAACAGTTTTCTGGTCGCTTATCCATTTAATGCATTGATCTGAATCCTGCGGTTAATTTCACAACCCCAACCCTCATCCCTTAAGTCTTAGCTCTCGTCTTATTACTATATATTTAATGTCAACCTGTTGTTAGAAAGTAAAGTATTATTAATTATGATGAGCAAATAAGAGCTTGAAACTGGATCCAAGATTAATCCCCCTCAGCAAGCTACAAATGTATAACCCCTCAGATATCCAGCAACTGTTCCTATGCCCCAATGCACCTGTACTTACATGACAGGCCATAAAAAGATTGACGACTGGACATAGTTGAAACAACGTTCGTCAGTCTGTTAGCAACCTCGTTACCCTCTTATTTTTACCTTATATAGTATTGGCTACTGAAATGGTTTCCATCGCGGTTTACTATTATTAACAAACAGGGTTTCCATTACTTACAGTAGAGCTACAGGTATTACTTTGCCAACACTATAATGAATTCAAATTTTTTAATTCTCCCTAAGGGGAAACTACTTAACACAACAGATATGTATGGTATTGAAAAAAGGCCTTTTACTCTGCAGCAAATAAACAAAAAGCTGTTTGAAACTAAAAACATTTTAAATATGAAAATAAATTTAATTACTGTACCATAATTTTCATTTTCTTTTTAGGAGAATTATAAAACTAGACTGAGGAACATCTCGTCATCTCTGGAAAAGATTGTAGAATGCCCAGTATGTCTGGACACAATCCGAATTCCATTTAAGACATGCAGCAGAGGTCATGGGGTTTGCAACAGCTGCTGCGAGAAGCTAAAGAACTGCCCAACATGCCAAGGTCCATTTATAATAGAGAATCCTGTGTGTTTGAAAAACATTCTGGAAGCCATACCTCGTCAGTGCAAGTACCATGGAGATGGTTGCGAAGATGTTGTGGAGCCCGCGAGTGACCATGAGGAATTTTGTGGCTTCAGACCTGTGAAGTGTAGGGACAGAAATTGCAACACTGTGACTCCTCTAATAAAACTGATGGATCACTACAAGAAAGAGCATCATCAATGGTTCCTGAGGTACAAAGCAAATTCAACTGAATTTTTGGTTTGGAGTAATTTTGACCCTGAAAAACGTCAACATAGTCCTCCTCTTATCTTTGTGTTTGACAATATATTCTGGTTTAACGAAAATTTTAATCAAAATCAGAAATATTTAGAAATCACCTTTGAAGCAACTCCGATCGGGAAGTTAAAAAATGATTATTTTGTTAAAGTTAAGGTTGAAAAAGGTGATTTTTTATATGCATCTACATTGAAGGCTTCTGTGGTGAAGGGTTGTCAAAAAGAGGAGAACACAAACTGGGATAATTGCATGAGGATTCCACAGAGCTCCTTATCTAATCTTATTCTTGAAAGAAATTTTAAATATGAGTTGAAGTTTTTTGCATGCAAAAAGTAAAATCTTCTTATGTACATTAAACTTAGTTGAAAATGGTTCAAATTGTGTTGCAATGTTAAGTTTTGTGTATAAAGCTTTGACATTTTCGGTTTACCTCCCTCAGCTGAGTATAATACCAGCCTCTTCACTCAGGATAAAAATTGAACAATCTATGCTATTTATTTGATTAGATTTATGAGAGTTTGGTTAAATGTTAACTTTGTTAACTTGTTATATCCTGTCATCATCGAGTATCTAATATAGTACAGTGCAAATAGCAATAACAAAATTTTTTGGCCTAACCTCAATATCCAAAATGAAAGCTAACTTTTGACTCTTAACTGTTCAATATACACTAGTCCTCATAAGCGTTTGGGGTTTGGAAGGTTAATAAATTTGTAGTTTTCTTTTAAATATTTCAATAATTTTGCTGTTAAGCGCAAATCACTTTACTTACAAAAATAATCTAAGATAAATTATCATTAACTATAATAGCTATTTAGATATTTCGTAAAATCCCAAATTCTGCAGATTTTTCAACTTTAATCCCCCTTTCCCCCGAACCTAACGATAAAAAATATGTATATTTTTACCAGGCAATATGGGAACTGTATTGACCGGTTTGGAGTCTAAAGTTAGCTTTCACTTTGGATTTTGAGGTTTCAGTCTAACTGCACCTATTTAATATCAAAGATTTAAAGCAAATGTGTACTATGATATGACTTTGCAGTTCCTTTAACTAAACGATTTTGTAGTTGTGAAGAGTAACACGATAGTGTCATATAAGAAAACCTAGACAATATTTATTTAAGATTTTGTAAGTTTGTGGTTAATAATGTCAAATTTTTTGAGCTCATAAGATACAGTACAATGATTATTCTATCTGTAATATGCAGATAGTATAGGGATGAGCTAAATGATTTGTGTTGTTATCATGTTAAAAACTACGTAATGATTTTGTATTTTGCCACATAATGATGCAATTGATTGTGTTTCTTGATACTTTTTTATTCATTTTCCATTAAAGCATATTTTTAAGATCTTATAAAAGTTCAAATATTTCGATAAGTTGATGTAATCTAAAAAAGTGTGAGACTCAATTAAACTTTACTTGTTTGTGTATGAAATATTTTTGTCTGAGTGATTACACCTATGGAATCTTAACAATGTTCGAACAATGAAAATAATAGCAGCTGTATATACAGTAATACTGGCTATCCATAACTAGTAATATTTATCATTTCCCCTATGAGGTTAGTAGCCAAGTCCATCTCAAATTTGACACATAGTTAATTCTACTAATATTATAAATGAGAAAGTTTGGATGTATGGTTGTGACAAGTAAACGTGAAAAATACTGTTCGGATTGGGCTGAATTTTGGCATGATAATAGCTCACATTCCCGATTAACATATAGGCATAATCTTATTTGAAAAATCCTTTATACTTATATGCCAACCCCGTACGAAGGACGGGTACTCTGCTAGTAATTAATAAATTAGTAAAGCAAAAGAATTTGTTTAAAAATACTGTTTTCAAATATTTTATTTAGCAGTTTGGGCATGCGAGTACAATGTGAATTTAAATCTATTTCTAAAATACTCATACTACATAAACACCTTTGCCGCAGCAAACCTGCAGACTAAGCAAATTTTCATTTACCTACCTGGAAGGTACCAGCATTGACTTTAAAGTCAATGGTACCAGTATTAAGCTGTGTTTTATTGTTAAATAGTTTAGTATGACAATCAAAATGGTCAAATTTGATTAAAAGACCGGCTGTCCATAAAATATTCATCAGGTTTTAAAATAATATATTGAACTTACAGATACATGAATGCTTACTACAAACTGCATGGATTGAAAGAGAATGCTATTAGGCCTATGTTATGTTTGATATACCTAAACAGGGTTGGTATGATCAGGGAAAAGACAGGGAATTTTGTTGATCTGGAAAAGTCAGGGAATCGTGAAAAAATTCTGGAATTTATCCTGAAAGACTACTATTTTACGGAGTTTTTCTCAAAACAGGTTTTTGTCAGGGGTATGACTAATGGCAAAAAGAACGACACAAGCAATGATGCACATTTATATATTGATAGTTAGCTATCAGTACAGGGGAGGAATCGATAGTTTGAAACAAGTTTTTTATTTGGGAGTGATTAAATAATTTAAATTTGGTCTAATATTTCTTGATTTTGATTAGTCGATATGGACTTGCGGTATACCTGGAAAAAGTATAATATCAGTCTGGAAAACCTGGAAAAGTCAGGGATTTTTATTTACCAAATTTAGTACCAACCCTGATAAATTTCCTCAATGTACTGTCCGTTTTCAGCAAAACATGTTTCCAGTCTATATTGCAACTCTGCTCAAACGTTGGTATGCATATCCTGGCATACTGTTGTCTGCCAGGGTTCTACCCAGCTCTGGCAGGTTTTGAGCTGATGGCTTGATGTCTGTGTCCTTTACCTAGACTCATAGAACGAAATCGCAAACAGTAAGGTCTAAGGTCTGGGGAATGGGGTGGCCACCTTAGGAGAGCTAAGTCATCCTCAGCATAGTGGTCAATCCAACCATCAGGGAGTCTCTTAGTTTAAAAAAAACTTCGGAAACCACAGTGACAATGAGACGGAGGGGTCTTGCTGGAACACTCAGCCCTCCATGTCCTCTTCAAGTTAGTGGGTGATGATAATCAGGCCTTGCATTCGCGAAAGATTTTCACAATTGCTCCGAGACGTTCCATGATTTGGCCGTGATATCGGGAGACAAAGATTATGTTCTCGAAATTGGCCGTGATATCAGGAGACAAAGATTATGTTCTCGAAATTGTTGTGGTCCATGAGTTTATTGCCACAATCGCAATACTGTATATGGTAAGACGGTAATGTCCTCACGATGGCGCAACATGTTCATTATTTCACCGTGGACATAGAATAGAATACGTTCACAATCTCTTTAGGATCGCGAAAGATTCCCACGATTTTACAACGACCACAGGTGACTCAACTACAAATTGTCGTGACCAAGGCTGATCTCGTTAATTTTCTATTCAGTTTCGTGTTAAGATTTTTCCGCAATCGCGGTGGGCGATAATGTTGTCCCCGCGTTCGCGGGAGATGTTAACGATATTGCCTTAAAGCGTTACACGTAGAATGTATTCCCTGCCACCACGAAATATGTTAAACATTCCACTATGAATATGTATAAGACGTTTACGGTTGCTCCGCGATCCGGAAGATAGCCACTATTACTTCACAACCGTGGGAGACGAAGATGATTACCCTGCAAACACGGAAGACGCTCACGATTTGGTCGTTACCAGGGACGCGAGGACAATATCGTAAATTTTTGCTACGATTGAAGAAGTCGTTTGGACTAATTATAGTACAAAATATAAAATATACTATTAAGATTAAGATAATACTGTATTTCATACAAAGATATCTCCTAAATAAAAAAAAATAGTGGCAATAAAAAACCTTATTATTTGTGTTTACTTCTTTGGAGTACTCGTGCTCCAGATACAAGCGTAGGCCTACCTGTACCCCTAGTGTACTGGATGGTAAGTGGTTATATGTAATATGTACATATGTATGTAAAAAGGGTCCCACCTCATCTAAGCTACCCCAGGCCCTCAGCTATGACAGTACGCCACTGTCAAAGTCGTGTTGTTTTTAACTATATATTGCATAATATTCCAATTATGTATAAATAATAACTGAATGTTATCATTGTAAATTGCATTGTCGTAGAAAATAAAATAATAAGTGGTTGAATTGAGTTGCCATGGTGGCACTTGTTGGGGTGGCACCTTCAGGTAACCCCACTTGTACTTGAGAACTTGACTATAAAACATTGCGTACCAACACCTGACTGTATTTTCCTTCCACCATGGTATGCACATCTTTTTGAGTTTTGCAATCATACATAATGATGAACAACTACAGATTATAGTTATGCCTAGCTTGGTTATACGGATAAAATCACAATCACCTTTAACTCCCAGGCCGCGGTCTTGTAGAATTGGCAACGTCGCAAGTAGGGTGATAACATGGCAGACAGGAGACATCAGCTCATCAATTCGCACTTTATCTATTTAAATGTATTAAAATATTGAAAAAATACAGAATTGAAAACCAAAACAATATGAATTGAAAATCTATATCTGTACATTTATAGCACAGTCAATATTTTCATAGTCCGGTAGCCACGAATACAAGTATTCGTGCCAGTCCAGTAACTAAAAGCTTTCGTAAATACACAATACTCCTGCCGAAGCAAACCTGCAGATTAAGCAAATTTCCATTTGCGTAATTGGATTTACACTAAAATGAATCCTTAATAATATCACATTTATTCCCTATTTAAATAGCATTAGTTTAAAGAGTACTCTAGGTTTGCTGCAACAGGGAGGGTAAAGTGTTTTTTTTTTTGTAAAATGTCAAATATACTAAATTGTTTTTTTAAGCTCTACAAAATGGTTTGGAAAGAAATTGTTAAATTTTATATTTTAGGATAAAAAAATAGAAAATATAATTTTCAACCCATAAACCTCCGTACCCATGGTCCGATCATGCTGTCTCGCGAACTGGTTCGAATAAATGTAGGTTTACACCAAATTTCGTCAAAATCGGATCATTTTTGCTCGAGTTATCGTGCTAACGGACACATATATGAATATATATATTTAAATGGATGGCGTTTTTATGGCCTCTAGGGACCTCAAAACCAAAAAGTAAATCGGTCCCGGGTCCAGGTCTTACCATGAGTACTACGGTAATTGCTTATTCCCGGTATGGGAAATTTGCTAAAAACCATTAGCAGCTTCCAAACAAAACAGCTGTTACAACACTACTTGCGATGTTGCCACTTCGAAGGCAATGCTGGAGTTAAAGGTGGCCGTGGTTCAAATAGTATTTAGACAAGAAGAATAACAAAGAAATAACAATATCAAAACGCATGTTTAGTCCAGGTAATGAATGATCCAAAAGTGGGTGTAGAGTGCGTGTCCTTGACTGGACTATGTGGTTCTGTGGTTCTTCTACTATAGGAGTTAGTGTTCGATGAATTAGACCACGGCCGCCGGCCTTCGATGTGGCAATGTCGCAAGTAGGGCTGTAATGGCTGTTTTGTTTGGAAGCAGCTAATGGTATTTTGTTGGGTATTTGTTATTGTTTATGATTAGATCGTGAGATCGTTTTAATTTGGTTAAATGAGGTTTTAAATTACTGAAATAATATGAAACAAATTGTAAAAATACCCCCGCTGCAGCAGACCTGCCGATTAAGCGAAATTCTATTTGCCTGGATTGATTTTGAATTTAATTGATAAATTAAAATTGTTGTTTAAGGAGTACCTAGGTTTGCTGCTACAGTGAAATTAATAAATAGCGTTTTTATTAAAATATTTATAGCTTGGTATAAAATTAATAAATCCGCCAAGTTTGATCAAAATATATCCATAAACAAGCCAACTACAACATTTTACAATATTCTCTATAAGAATAACATGGGAATTTTAAATGAACATTTTTTTGAATTTTTCTCCGTAGTACAAAAACACTTTAATATAGGTGCCGTACGCACAATTTTTATTTCAGCTGCAGTTATTTTAATAAGAATAAAATGAGAGCATTCTATTGGCTGAGGGAACACCATTAGCTCAATGAAACGGAATGTAGCCATCGGCCACGGTGGTACAGTGGATAGCGTGCCGGGCTTCGAAACTTATGGTACCAGGTTCAAAACCCATCGGGGGCACAAATTTTTGTCTAAGATTTTTGCATTATCAGCAAGTTTGGTTAGTTTTGTTAGGTTATAACAGTTAAATTTTATAATTAAAACCTTATAAAATTGAATTTGAGCTATTTATAGTTTTATTTTATAAACAAAACTTTTTTCGATTAGTAAACCTTCATTCAAATTTTTCATTATCAGCAAGTTTGGTTAGGTTATCACAGTTTAATTTTATAATTAAAAAATATAAAATTTAATTTGAGGCATTTATAGTTTTATTTTATGAACAGAATTATTTTTTCTATTAGTAAACCTTCATTCAATTTTGTCATTATCAGCAAGTTTGGTTAGTTAGGTTAGGTTATGACAGTTTAATTAAAAAATTAACTATATATTTTTTTAGTTTTAGGCCTACAATATTTTTTTTTAATTTATAATTTTTAAACTCTCATTTTGTCCGTATTAAAAAACTGCAGCTAAAATAAAAATCGTGCGTACCGTACGGAACTAAATTATTTTTTTTTAAGATTTTTAAACAGGTCTGGAGAAAAATCGATAAATTTTGTGTTTGATATTTTGTTTGATGAAAAAAATGGAAATACAATTTTTTCCCATCATGATCCGATCATGCTGGTTCGCGAACTGATCATTCAAGTTTATCCCGCCATACACCTTCAAACCAAATGTTATTAAAATGTGACAAAAATTACTCAAGTTATCGCGTTCACGGACACAAACACACACACACACACACACACACACACAAATAGATATATTTGAATTGAACTAATAGTATTTTAGGCATCTGAGTACATCAAAATGACAAGTAAATCGGTCCCGGGCCTAGGTCTTATAATGAGACGTACGGTAATAGCTATTTCCCTATATATAGGGAAATTCGCTAAAATACGACCATATCCAGTGCCGGATTTACCACTAGGCCGATTAGGCCGCGGCCTAGGGCCGCAAGCAAAAGGGGGCCGCAGAGGATTGGGAAAAACATTTTTTAGATAAAATTAATAACAAATAATTTATTTTAAACCACCAGTTTGCCGCGATCACAGCTGACCATAATGATGTCTCCGCGGACCGAGGGAGATGTTCACGATTTTGCCGCGGCCTCGGGTGCCTGTGATGACGTCCCGTGATTGCGGCCCGCGGGAGACGTTCATGATTTAGCCGCGGCCGCGGGTGACGTTCACGAATTAGATGCTGTATCGAGTTGTCAATGATGATGTCCCCGTGATTGCGGCCCGTGTGCGGGAGATGTTCACGATTTCGCCGCGGTCACAAGTGTCGATGATAATGTCCCCGTGCGTGATTGCGGTCCGCGGCAGATGTTCATGATTTCACCGCGGCTGTGAGTGTTGATGATGCATCCCCGTGATTGCGGCCCACGGGAGATGTTTTTTTTCATTCTTTATTTTGTAATTTCATTAAGAATAATACCTACAATGGCGTCATGTTAACGATTTCGCCGCGGCTGGGGGTGTCAATGTGGATGTCCCCATGGTGGCTTACCGAGGAGGATGTTTACAACGCAAATAAAATTTATTGAGCGCAAAATTAAAATTTTTCATTTATTTTATAATTGTTGAGAAATGTTAACCCCACAAAAATTTTTGAAAATTTTTTTGTAATGTAATGTTTTACTATAGGCTACCGGTACATTAAATTGAAGCCCATAATTTTCCCCAAAAAAATACCGGCACGACCGTGGGTGACAATGATGAAGTCCTCATGATCACAGTCCACGGGAGATGTTTTTAACACGACTTTGCCGCGATCGCAAGTGTCGATGATGATGTTCCCATGATTGCGGCCCGCGGCAGATGTTCATGATTTCACCGCGGCTGTGAGTGTTGATGATGATGTCCCTGTGATCGTGGTTCACGGGAGTTGTTAACGATTTCGCCGCGGCTCGGGGTGTCAATGAGGACGTTCCCGTGATGGCTTCCCGAGCGGGATGTTTAAGATTTCGGCACGGCCGCGGGTGACAATGATGAAGTCGTCATGATCGCAGTCGACGGGAGAGGTTTTTTTAACACGACTTTGCCGCGATCGCAAGTTTCAATTATGATGTCCCCGTGATTGCGGCTCGCGGGAGATGTTCACGATTTTACTGCGGTCCCGGATAACTATGATGACTTTGACTTGGTTTAGGAGAGATGTCCACGATTTCATCCAGGATCACGGGTGTCGATGATGATGTCCCCTTGATGTATAGGAGATAGTCACTATACTTCCGCGATCGCAAGGAATTTTCACCACAGGGGGAGGGCCGCTCAAGTAATTTGGCCTAGGGCCGCAAGTGCCCTAAATCCGGCACTGACCATATCTACAGTGCACCGGACATAACTAACAATAACATTTGCTTCAGCTGTTTCTAAGGATGAGAAATCTACTAAAGGAGTATGTTTTATCTATGGTTTTATTAATGCTTATATCCACAAGATGAGTTTTTTAATAGCTAGTGGCCTAAAATTGAACATTTGCCAACAGAAATGATGGTGTCTTAAACAGTCTTGACTATGGTCAAATCGAATTAATAAGACTAGTAATTCATTTTAGTAATCCAATTTTGTCACTATTGCTTGTCCTCTGATATTTTGTAGTATAATAATTAAAATAGGCAAAGTCCAAAATTGACTCTTTTCAAAACGAGTAAAATAAATATTCAACATCAGTGCGCTCAACCCGACTCAACTCAACGGTCAACAACACCATGAAATACATATAGAACAAAGTGATGTTTAATCAACGCAGTCAGTTTGCCTCCAAGGTTTTTTCACCAAGAGATTTGATTTCCGGCCGGCGTTTCGAGTTTGACCTCCGGCTTCGCTTCTGTTGTTGAATCTTGAATCTGAATCTGTGTGACTGTGATCTCCTCAATCAGACTCTCTTATCTCTCTTCTTGTCTTGTCTTGACTGAACTGCTTACGTGCTTACTTTACTTTGTGTTGTCTTGTCCTGTCCTGATTACTGAAACGAGTAGACAGTGAGTGAAATCTCTCAACCTAGTAGTTGTGATCAGTTTTTATCAACTAACAACCCATCTTGTGTTGTGATAAGTATGCTCTATTTCAGAATAGGTGAGTTATATCAGAAGCAACACTAAGGGAGTATGTTTTATCTATGGTTAGGCCAGCCTACTTTCTTGAACCTTACAAATTATCTGTTTTCTGACAAAGTCTGTCGTATTAGGCTAAGTTAAGTTAGAGAGGCTAAACCAAACTTAGCCCACCTTGTGATAAGCAGACCCTCTTCCCTAAATAAGTTGGTGGGCCTAAGTGGTAGCCTATATTACGCTTTCTTCAACGTTTAAAGTTACGTCTATGTGTTTTCTGGGCTGCACTTTAGTTTAAACGGCCCACATTTACTCACATAAAAGTAAGCATGTTTGTTAAGGTTAGGTTATCCGGTACTTTAGAACAGTTTCATTAAGCTATCAGCTGGTAATAGCCTAGTGTATAATGGTAAATGAAGGGTGCAAACTTAAGTGTATCCGACAAATTCTGTGAGAATTAGCCTACTGAGTTAGCCAGACCAACTTGACGCAGACACAAAAAAATAGCCTTTAACCTTCCGTCGGGCGCATCACAGATGTTACCTCCATGTCACTACTTTTTTCGTTATAAAAACCATAGCCTTTAAGTTAGTATGTGTTCGGCAGGGCTATGTAATCGCCTGATTTACCTCACGCACCTCTTTTGCGGAATTTGTTTTGTCTAGGCTACTCTTACCCCTTTCCCAGTTGTCCGTCGACCTTGGGGAGTGGTTCGCCTCACTACTGGATGTAGCTTCTGTGTGCGCCCTGTGATGCAACGGGTTTCCGGGAGTCTAGTTCCTTGTGCGCCCTTGTGTTTGACTTTATTTAGTGATATTATAAAATGGATGAGAAAGAATGAATTGTAAGATTGTTGGCTAGTGTTGAAAGGGAGGACAGGGAACAAAGACCTAATGGTGCGTTTGTTGAGGAACTTTTTTTTTCAAGAAAAAGAGCTATGACAGTAGTCCTTAAAAATTATTTTTTTCATCAGACAATAAGTACCGGTAAGGTGTTTTATTTCAAACAGTATTGCAATTTTTTTCTAAGAGCTTTGACAAAGTAAGTTGTTCATTATGAAAAATTATTTTTTCATAGTAACAAAATATTATTTTAGACCATACATGTTTTATGGCATACACTATTAACATTTTTCTCTACTTGGTACGGTTTACGATAGGCCTTATTTATTTATTTATTTATTCCAACGGGTTTTCCATTAATACAATTTTGTCAAAAATTAAATTTACAAGATGGCAGTTCTAAAGATGAAAGTTCTAAATATGTAATTCGAGCTAATTCAAACTATGAACTATAGTAGCAAATAATAAGTTATTATCAGTGGTAACAGAAATCGTGCAGTGCCGATTAGGTTTATTATCCTTGTTTGGTCAAATTAACTCACCTTGATTGCCTTCTGTGATTCATTGCAACGGAACTTCACGTCTAAATAGACACACTTATTCCACCAAACTGATTTTACCCAGCTTGGAATTTCTTCCATTTGTTTTGATTTTCTGTTTGTTGCGTTGTTATTTCGTCATCATGCTTGCCCATAAGGTCCATGTAATTTTAAAAAAATGTTAAGTTCATTTTTTGTGCATATTTTTGATTTTATTTTAATTTATGAAAGGATTCTGCACATCTACTCTACAGGTAAATATCTTCCCAACAGTATGCGTAGATTTTCTCTGCAATGCAGCTGAGCTGAGAAAAAAGGTTTTAAAGATAGGCCTAATGCTATAATACATAAGGTAATGCTTTCTTATTAATATATAGATAGGACGAACGTTTTATTGGTCATAAAAAGTAATTGTCACTGGAATCATCAACGATGTAGGCCTACATAGCCTGTTAACTGATGCATTGTACAATGACATATTAATTATTTTAAAAACAAGACATTGTAATAAACTGTCAATCACATAATTTTATATTTTTTAACCGTAAACAATCCTTATATATAATACGTGAAGGCGATTTCTTGAAAACACTACTCCTCCGTTAATAATGGACGGATTTTTACAAACGACGTGTCAAAATAAAATATTTTTTGTGTAGACACCCCCTTTCACCAATTCGTGTAGTAAAAATCCTCGGGCTTTGCCCCACAGGCCATCAAAGTTGGAGTTTCTCCCATAAGATTAACATGGGGGAATCTAAATATTTGATTGGAAACTTTGTCCCCACTAATTTGAGAGAACGGTTGGACGTAGAAACTTGGTAGAGGTGTCCAAAGAAAGGTCTTGGTCTGTAGATGAGTTATGAAAAGAAAAACTAAGCAATATCCCTTAGGACTCTGCCCCAGAAGCCTTTAAAGATCCCTCCACAGAGTTGTTTACATTTTGGCCATGAGAATAATACTTTTTAATGAAACAGCTGTTCATTTTTTAATTGTACCTATTTCAAACAACACATATTTATTGGGAGTTGAATTCTACCAAATAAGTATTTGCAATGTTATTTTCTGATTTTAAAATTGATTTTCTTCTTTATCATGCCATGTTTTGCAATATAACGTTCCATTACGAAATCAGTGGAAAATATTTTTATCACAGCAATTCTTAAATTATTTCTTATTGAACTATCTTATATCTATTGTACGGGTTGGTGTGTGCCTTTTTCGCCACTTTTGCATACATTTTATCATATTATTCTACAAAATATCAAATATTTATGTAGAAATATCTGCTCTTATTGTGTCTTATAAAATCCAAACTTAGAAACATTGCCTAAAATGGTACCTATCTTAACAAATAATTTGCACCTCTGCCTATATTACGGACTTTGGCGCACTGAATTAGTAACATTATTGAAAATAACACGACATTTTGGCTGTAAAATATGGTACAAAGAGAAAATACTATTTAAGCAGCTACTGTCATGACAGAGGTCATATTCCTTTTAAACTAGATCACATAATCCTTTGACTGGGACGGGTGGCGTCGTCCTGTAATCCAGCTACTAGGAGGTCACGAATTGTGGATATTTATAGGAATGCACTGTGGATGCGATACTCCCTGGTGTGGATTAACGTCCGCACGAGTTAGTACTACGACTACCCGCAGTGCTATCCTGATAATTATACCAATTCATAAATACCAATGCAAAGAAATTTGGTTCCAATTCAACTATAAACTGTAGATCCCTTGGTTGCCATTCGCTGTATGGGCTATTAATTAACAGCTGTATCTAAGGAATGTCGGCCTTAGTAACTAACAAGACTTCAAGATCGCGCCACTCTTCCTACACTCATCTCCATTCATACTTGGCTTACCTACTATGAATGGTCGCCATAAAAAAAAAACGTATTAAAGGATTAAAGTATTTATCATATACGTTGATTAACAATATGTAAAAGTCAATATATACGTAACAGCCATTTTACAGTATTTTTGCTTTTTGGAAATGTTCAATTGCTATGCCATTTGCATTATTTATTGCCAATGAAGCCGCCAAGATCATATGAACTAGGAGGCCCCTAACAGTTCAAGAATAAAAGCCAACTTTACTTCATGTATTCCACTACACCTAACATTCCGTAGAGAGATTATATTGAAAACTTTATGTTATTGATAAGGCCGAGGCCGAGACAACTAACTGACATCCCCCATGTCAAGGAATTCCAGCTTTATCAGTAACCCCACAGTCAATTTCTCAAAACTATGCTAGAGGGTTCATTCGTTGGCACAGAAGTACGATATGAACTGACGCGACGTGACGAAGGAAAATCAAACTTACACTGTAACGGATATACCTCCCTTTGAAGTTAGAACGTGTCTTCTCAACAAACATATATTTTTTCTCAAACACTGATGAAATCACGGAAGTGTTTAGCTACAAAAGATCCACCAATACGATTTAAATACTATTTAAAGGTTCTACCAAAGGAAGAGATACCATATAACATACTAATAATAACTCCGATGACGTACAGGATAGGAAATATTTTAATCATTGAATGAACAACCAAATTTGGTAACTAACGCAATATTGTTATTGTTTTTACACTTACTCTTTGAACAATGTTAAATGCTCAAAATATGTATATTTCACCCAATTCATCGCAGTTAGATGAATTAACGTAAGCCTTGAAAGTAACCGTCGATTTCGACGGGTTTCCCCTAGTTTTGTATATTTTCGGACAGAGACTAATTATTTAAAGAAAATAGTTAGAACTTGAATTTCTCATACTAATTTAACCCAATAAGAAACTTTATTATTTAAAATACCTACCTTATTTAATTAAATCGGTAACTTATTCCAGTGCTATTGAGAATTCATTTATGGATTCATGTTCTTGTTGAGTACGAGAAATAAACACTTGTGTTGTAAAGCCCATTGACTTGGCTGTGGTTCTACAAAATCCTTTAGTATCTGAACTAACTCACTGTGTAGTCTTTTGTAAGTGGGTTTTCAGGTGCAAATAAATCATGTAGGGGTGTAAGAGCGTGTAGTAGGCTAGCATGTAAACTTTAGCATTACCATCTGCACTTTGTTTTTTAGGGTGTAGGAATATTTCAAGTCTCTATATGAAATTTGTAACCGTTTCCTCTGGGTGAAAAGGTGTAAAATTTATACTACTGGACAATGAGGACTCGGAAATTGAACTATGTGTTGCCTCAGATGGATTGGTAATTGGGTGTAGTGGTGTAGACCTAGTTTTGGAACATTCATTCTTAAGGGTGTTTGGTCAAAAATTAATATTCAAATTTTCATGTTGGAATGTGTTTGTTGCAATGTATAAAACTAAAATGAGGTTTTAAAAAATTCCAAAATTTTTTTTAGAGAATTACAAGGGGTTAAAGTGCTGATATTTAGGTATTTTTGTACTAACAATCAAAAAAACCCATTGGGAATTTTGAAATAAAAAAACATTTTCGTATTATACAGGGTGAGTTTCTACTGACCGTGTTAACTTCGCCAGTGGGTTCTACTCACTAAAAGGAACAAAAAAGTTCCTATAAACCCATGTCCGATTTTCGACCGTTTGGCTGTTTTGGGGGATTTTGTGTTTTTCTTATTTTATTAGACTTTGCTCCACAA